TGACCCAGAAACCACCCCCTGCTCCTCTGTGGGGTGGGGGTGGCTGCAGCCTCCAGGTCAGGGGGATAGAGTTTGCTGTGGGTGAGCTAAAGCAAACAGCCACAAGCTTCTCCAGGAGGCAGAGAAAGGGTGGAACAGCCCCTGGAGAAGGGACACTGGGGGGTCATTGGCGGCCTGGGTCACACAGGAGGTGCTTGTTGGTGATTTAATCAGCCTGTTAATAATTACCTGTGGCACTGATGAAGCTGCTGGGATGAGGGACATTCCCTGCAGGCCAGCAGGGGCTGTCCCAGCAGTGATGTCACTTCAGGGAGCCTCTGTCCCTCTGATGGCCCAGGGGTGCCAAGGGGAGAGTGCTGGGAATGGGATCCCCAGAGCTGCTGGGGGCACTCAGCCAGGGCACCCTTTGTGCTTTTTAACCATCTTGGTGGCTCAGCTGCCCCTCTCCCAGGGCTGGAGCGGGATAGAGGAGCCCCCCAAGCCCCCTGTGCAAGGGGAGGGGGCACTGCCCTGGCAGGCAGAACGGGGGGGCCTCACGTCCCCTCGGAAAATCAGGTTTCACGTTCTTCTCCCGAGATTGATTTTCCAAGGCTATCAGCTAAGGATATTAATGACTGCAAGGCCATGATGATGAGGGCCCCAGGAGCTGTGCATGGCTGCTCTGCCTGCTTGCAGGGGCCGTGGGGAGGTGCTGAGGTTTGGGTTTGCCTTGTGCTCCTCAGCAGCCAGGGATGCTGCAGCACCCAAACTGGGAGCAGGATGCTGTGAGCTATCCCAGGGAGGGTGGCAGGGTCCCAGGCAGGCAGGAGCCAGCCCTGAGTGCTCAGCTCCCGCTGGAATTGTTGGATGCAGAGTCAGAGGCTCCCCCCATCCGCCCCACTCAAGGGGCCCTTGTTTGCGGGGAGGAGATGATTCATGTGCACCGAGTGGCCCCTCAGCAAATCTTCCACTCTTAGGGGACGCTGCCAGGGCTCAAGTGCCATCATTAATGGCTGGCTTTTCTCTAAAACCCCTCCGGCCTGGAGCAGGACAGGCTGGGAGGAGGAGGAGGAGGAAGAAGAGGAGAAGGAGGAAGAAGAGGAGAAGGAGGTGGAAGTGTTTTCCAGGCTGCTGTTCCTGTCCCTAGCAGCCCATCCCAGTTTGCCCCACAGCCAGCAGGTGCTGAGTGATGGGGACAGAGCCTGCCTGCCTCCTGCCACCTCCAGGGCCGAGTGCTGCCCCTCTCCTGCCGCTCACCAGGGCAGTGCCACAGCAGAGCAGGCAGCCCTGTCCTCCCGTCCCCTGCACAAAGGAACAATTCTGGGAGCCACCCCCACAGAGGCACTTCCTCCTCCCCGGCGGGAAGAAACCTCCTTGGGAATGGGAATGGGAATGGGAACAGGAATGGGAATGGGAATGGGAATGGGAACAGGAATGGGAATGGGAATGGGGATGGGAATGGGAATGGAACAGGAACTGCCCTGGGAGCTCAGCAAGGTGCCCAGGAGGCCGTGGGCTGCCTCCAAGAGCAGCGCTGTTGGGGCTGGAGGGGGCTGCCAGGATCTCACCCCCGTGGTGATGCCCGTGCCAGAGCATCCAGCGAGGCGTGGGGACACGTCCCAGCCCCGTGTGGCTCTCGCAGGTGGCTCCACATCCACCTGCGGGCAGGTGAGCGTGGTTTGCGTGCTGCAGAGACCTCCCCTGGCTCTGTTTGTGCCACAGACACCTCCCTGCAGGGCTCCCCCTGGGGCTGGGGTGGCTCTGGGTGCTGTCCCCACCTATTTGGGGCATCCCCGGAGCTCTCCGCGTTCCTTTGCTGCGGGTGGCAGCTGTAAGGAGCCCTGTGCCTGCAGGCAGAGCGGCCAAGGGCCCTGCCCGTGCCAACAGGAAGGATTTCTTTGTGCCTGGGTTTTATTTTAGCTACAAACAATGGCTGTTACTCCCAGCATCCGATTTCCCCCGGCCCCCCTCGGCCCCAGCCATCACCTGGCGCAGGAGGAAGCGTGGCCGGAGGCAGGAGAGCTGTGGCCACAGGATGGGGGTCCCTGTGCACCTCCCACTGCATTTCAGAGCTGTGATTCAGCATCTCCCCTCCCCGGGGCTCTCTCAAGCTGCAGACTGGGCTTTTCTCGGAGTCAGAACTCCGTGGGGTTGTCTTATCTCTCCTCTTGCACAAGCTGGGTCTCTACATCAGGAAACTCCTGCTTTGGCTTGGCCAGAGACTCTTCCTCCTCCTCCTCTTCCTCCTCTCTGCAGGTTACTGGAGCAGGACCTGATTTTTGCTGCTGTGCTGGAGCAGAGCCAGGGAGGCTGTGCAGCTGCAGGCTGTGTTCAGACCTTATCTGTGTGCTGGGAAAAGGGTCCCTGAGGAGAGGAGCACTTGTGGGCACTAAAAATAGAGCTGGCCCGGTGTAGGGTGGCGAGAGGGGCTGGAGGGGATGCAGCTCCTTTGCAGCACCGTGCTTGGTGCTGCTGCCAGGGCAGGCTTTGGCAGCAGGGGAAGCACTGCCCCGGTGTCCTGGTGCTGTCCCCTGGGTCCCCCCAGCCCACCCAGGCCTGTTAGTTAATGCTGAAGCCATCTGCTGCCACGGGTCCTGGCCTTCCCAGGCTCAGGGACCTCAGGGACATCTCCCATCCTGCCTCGGACAGGCTGCAGATGTGGCGAGGAGGGGGTTTCTGCTGTCACTCTCTGTCCTGGGGTGCCTGTGCTCAAAGCCTGAGCGCAGGGCAGCGGGGTGATCCCACAGATTTTGGGTGCAGGAGAAGCCCCAGCAGAAAGCAGCAGGTGGGAGCCAGCACCAGGGCTGGAGGTGTCCCAGAGCAGGGGACACAGGGTCTGTTTTTGGCCATGTCACCGGTGGTCACTGTGACATCCCACACCCTCCTCCCCAGGAGCCCTTTGGTGCCCGGGCTCAGAGCCCCCAGGGGCACTGACAGCACAGGAGATGTGTCCCTGTCCCCTGGGCCAGCTCTGCTGCTCCTTGCTTGCCAGGTGACTTTGGGTGTCCAGCCATCCCCTGCTGCCCCCCTGGAGCAATCTCCCCTCGCTTCCTGCGCCCCCTCGTTAAGCTCCTTCAGGCTGGAAGCCTAATGAGCATAGGAAATGAATTCCTTGCCTCCCTGCGCTCCCCCGGGCTCTGCTCAGGCACCTCCTGGGATCACAGGCCTCTTTGACTGCCCCCTCCCTCCCCCCTTGGATTTTGGAGGATGTTGAACAAGGGAGACGGAGGGGACAGCTCAGCTGGGGGGAAACAAAGGCGCCTTCAGAGCTGTGTGTCCATGCTGAGTGTGCCCAGCTCGGGGCACTGCAGCTGAGCTCAGCCCCTGCAGCAGCCCTGGCTGCTCACAGGCACCCTCAGCTCTGGTGCCCAGCAGGGCAGGGTCCCCTCGCCCCCCTCCCTGCCTGCTTTGGCACTGCTGACACAAACCAGGCTGCCCTTGGCTGGCCCCGAGCCCTGACACCGAGCTGGTGCCTGTGGTGGGACGTGTCCTACACATGGCAGGGGATGGGGATACTGCTGACCCCACAGCCTGGGGTTTGGGGTGTTCTGGGAGGTTGGGGATGCTGCTGACCCCACAGCCTGGGGTTTGGGGTGTTCTGGGAGTGTTTGGGATGCTGCTGACCCCACAGCCTGGGGTTTGGGGTGTTCTGGGAGGGTTTGGGATGCTGCTGACCCCATAGCCTGGGGTTTGGGGTGTTCTGGGAGTGTTGGGGATGCTGCTGACCCCACGGCCTGGGGTTTGGTGAGTTGTGGAAAGCCATTGGGTCTGCACAGTCCCTGACCCCTTTGTGGGAGCTCATGGCTGAGCTGGGGCAGACATGGAGGAGGTTGGGTGACTCCCCAGATGTTTGCAGGTGCTGGCTGGACAGGGGAAATGTTACTTTTTGTCCCAGCTGCTTCCTCGCAGTCAGTGCCCTGCCCTGCCAAGCCCTGCAGGGAGTTTGTGTCACCTGCCTGGAGATCCCCAGCAGGAGCCTGATCCTGTGCTGCCTGTGCAGCACTCTGTAACACCCCAGGGAGGATTTTCCTCTCTTCCCTCCCTGCCTGCCCCTGGGAGCCGGGTGCTTACCCCACACAGCTGCTGGCAGAGCACAGGAGGTGTGTGCTGGTGAGAGCCAGCGAGCTGAGCATCGCCCTGTGCCTGCGTGTTGGCTGTGGGATGTCATTCCAGCTCAAGGAACAGGAATCCCATTCCCTGTGCTTCCTTCTCCTTCCCCAGGGTCTGAGGGATGTTTGTCTGTCCCTCCTGGAGCGCTGCTGAGGCTTCTGCTGCTGCCTGGGGCTGCCTGTCCTGGCTTGGGCTGCCCAGGGGAGATGGGCACTGCCCTGTGCCGTGGCCTGAAGCGCCGAGGCTGCTGTTCAGCGTGGCTCTGGGGAGGGAGGAGGAAGCAGAAGGGCTGTGGGGGTAGAATGCAGGGAGGCAGGAAGAGTCTCATGAGGCACATCCTGCCCCGTGTCCTGGGATGGTGGTGATCCATGCTGGCACGTTGTCTCTGTGCCCAGGGGCTCATCCTGGCTGGCGCTGCTCCACCTCATCCCCCTCCTGCTGGGCTCCCCCCCACCCTTTCAAACACCAGTTGGTTTTATTGTGCTGCTTTTCCTTACATGAGGAAGGAGGATCCCATCAGTGGCTCAGAATCCTTCCCTTCCTCTGGGAAATACCCCGTGCCAGCCCCTTGGTGCTGCCCAGCGTTGCTCTGCCAAGGAGCAGTGTGGGGACAGCTGCAGCCCAGCCAGGGTGTCCCCATGCTCTGGGGAGCTGTCCCCTCCTTCAAGCCAACCTCATCCATCAGCATGTCCGAGCTGCCTCTGCCAAGATGACCCTTGGCCCCAGGAGAGCCAAAGGCAGCTGTGTGCCACCCTGGCTGTGCAGGAGGGGTCCTGCACTGGCAGGAACTGCAGCTCACACTGCCCTGTCCAGAGCTCCAGCTTTGCTGCAGTTCCAGCCCGTTTTGCCTTGTTTTAACCCCAGCATCCCAAAATCCCCCTGGCTGACGGGATTTTCCCTGCTCCCCTCAGTGCTGGACCAGCTCCTGCCAGAGCTCAGCGTTCTGCTCAAGCTGCTGGACCATGAGTACCTGAGTGCCACCACACAGGAGAAGAAGCTGGCTGTCTCCAGCATCCTGCAGAAGCTGCAGCCGCCTGCAGGTCTGTGTCCCTCTCCTGTGGTGGCTGTGGCTGTTCCCAAAGGCAGTGGGTGTCCCCAGCAGTGCAGGGATGAGCCCAGCACCTGCTCAGCCCCCTCTGGGCTCCCTGCTTTCCCTTCCCAGCTCCTCCCTGCGCAGGAGGATCCTCCCTGGATCCAGGAGGCTGCTCCCTGCGGAAACGCCGCTTCCCAGAGCGTTTCCTGCCCTGGGTTTGTGCTGAGCGCAGGGGTTTCCACGGGAAGGCACCTGGGGCTTCCCAACCTTCCCCACTGCTGCTCTCCTGGGGGAGCTGCAGCATCCCTGGGGGTTCCTCCATGCCCTGTGCCTGCTCTGTGTCCCTGGGGACAAGGGGTGCCAGTGCCTGCCCCAGGCTCAGAGCATCCCCCTCAATTCCAGGGAAGGATGTGGACTACATGTACGTCAACACAGCGTCCCTGGGCAATGGCACCAGCTTTGTGGAGTCCCTCTTTGAGGAGTTTGGTACGTGTGGCTCAGCTGGAGGGGTGCCCTGGGGGTCCTGCTGGGTGTGTGCTAGCCCTGGGGTCCTTTGGAAGAAGGGTGACAGCTACATCCTTGTGTCCAGAGTGGGCATCATCACTCTGGCTTCTTGTTCTGCTCCCTTGTAGCTGTTTGGGGACTGGCCATGAGGGAATCCACGCTCCAGCTGCATTTCCCAGTGATTCCCATCTCCCAGACCCTCCCAGGGAAGGGCCATGGAGGGAGATCCCCAGAGGGCACAGCTGGGGTGTCCAGCTCTGCTTTCCTGCTCCCTTCACCCTGTGTTTCCCCATGCAGACTGTGACCTGCGGGACCTGCAGGACATGCAGGAGGACGAGGGGGACACCAGTGACGGTGCTGGCTTGGAGCTGGCGAGGAGCCAGACCTGCAAAGCTGTACGTGCCTGCCTGTCCCCGAGCCAGCTCTGCTCTGCACCTGCCTGGGGACGTGGCAGTGGCCGGGGTGGGGACCCTTCCTGTGCCCTGCTGGGGCTCCTGCCCCTGCTGCACCCCATGCTGGAGGTGTTTCTTCTCTAGGTTCCTGTGGATCCTGCTCCTCCACTGCCCACCACTCCCCCTCCTGAGGATTACTACGAGGAAGCGCTGCCCCTGGGCCCTGGCAAGGCCCCCGAGTACATCACCTCCCGCAGTGAGTCCTGCTCCATCCAGGCCAGCAGGAGGGTGGGGGGAGCCCCACAAGCTGCCCCTCGCATCCCTCACCTGCCTGAGAAACCAGGCAGCTCCCAGTGGGCTGGGCTGCTCATCCTGGGGAAGGAACTATCGCTGCTCCCACCAGCATTGCTCCTGTCACACTCACTTCCATCCCACTGGGTGTTGCAAGGAGTTGTTGCTCCAGCCAGACTGGGAATGAGGTGATGGGGAGAGATCAGAGCCATGGGAGAACCAATGCTGGGATGCCCTGGGAGGGTGTGCTTGGCTGTGCCCCACTCAGCATCCATGAGGGAAAAGTGTGTGTGCCAGCCCCAGCTCCCTCTGCTTCCCCTGCAGACAGCTCCAGCCCCCCCAACTCCATCGAGGACGGCTATTACGAGGATGCAGACAGCAACTACCCTGTCACCAGGATAAACGGGGAGCAGAAAAATTCCTGTAGGTATCTGTGTGTCCTTGACAGGGAGAGGAGAGCTTTGGCAAGGTCCAGCCTGAGGTGGGGGTGAGCAATGGGCTGGGGCTGCTGGGGCTGGAGAAGCAGGATTTCAAAGCGTGCAAAGAAATAAAGCAGCCCAGGACTCTGGATCGATGCACCTGGGGCTGGCACGCAGCCCACGAGCATCCTGCTGGGATTCCAAGGGAAATGGAGATGGCTGGTGCCAAGCACTGCTGTTTCCAGAGGAGGACACAGAATCCACCTATCCCAGCACCCAGCCCAGCTCTGTCTGGAGCCTGCTGGGCATGGGGAACCCTGGCAGGGTGTGCAGCACCTTGTAGGGTGACCCCCCTGCTTCCTTCCAGACAACGACTCGGATGCCATGAGCAGCTCTTACGAGTCCTATGATGAGGAGGAGGAGGAGGGCAAGGGCCAGCAGCTGACACACCAGTGGCCGTCGGAGGAGGCCTCCATGAACCTGGTGAAGGATTGCCGGATCTGCGCGTTCCTCTTGCGCAAGAAGCGCTTTGGGCAGTGGGCCAAGCAGCTCACCATCATCCGGGATGGCAAACTGCTGGTGAGCCTGGTCTGGGGGGCACAGAAACCCTCTGAGGGGTTGGGAGGGTGGCTGAGCCCAAGCTGATGGAAAAAAACACCATCCAAAGAAAGTCCCTGCCCCAAGGCTGCCACCCAAGCAGCAGCTACCCTCGCTTACCTTGCAAGGGAACAGAGGGCTCCCTTATTTTTGGGACACCACGGAGTGAGAGGGCACCCTCAGGTTGTTGCATGGCCTGAGCCACCTCCATCTGTGCCCCCAGCAAGGGACCTGAGACCCCATGTCACCTATGAGACCCCCCCAGCACAGGGGTCTGGGGCTGTCCTCAGCCGGCCAGGCAGGTTTGGCTGAGCCCTGAGCAGTTCTTTCTGCTTCCCTCAGTGCTACAAAAGCTCCAAGGATCGGCAGCCACACGTGGAGGTGCCCCTGAGCACCTGCAATGTCATTTACGTGCCCAAGGACGGGCGGCGCAAGAAGCACGAGCTGCGGTTCTCGCTGCCAGGGGCTGAGGCGCTGGTGCTGGCAGTGCAGAGCAAGGAGCAGGCTGAGGAGTGGCTCAAGGTACCACTGCTCCTCCCAGGGGCATCCCCAGACTCCCCTGGGCATCCTCCCTGCTCCAGCTGGGGAGGGGGCTGCCCTGGGAACGGCCTTGCCCCGCTGGAAGGGGAAGGGGGCTCTGCTCCTGTCTCTTATCGGCCGCTTCCCAGGGCCTGGGTGGCTCCAGTGCTGATAGCCCCGGCTGGGGGATGTTTGCTCTCCCCTTCCTCTTCCCCAGGGCCCTTTCCTGCCTTTGTTCAGGGCTGGGAAGCGGGGGCTGCGGGGAAGGAGCCTTTGAGCACACCACCAATGCAGCTGTCACCCCCAGTGTGGGAGAAAAGGATTGTTTTACACACCCAGGACACACCACGCCTTAAAATGGGGGTCACGAGGTGTCCTGTGCTGGCAGGATGATGCTGGCTTGGCACCTAAGTCTCTCCTTTCTAAGATTTCTAAAATCCACAAAACTGGTTGAAGTTTTGAATGGGCTAAGGTGTGAGCAGTACCAAGCTGGGTTTGCTGCCCTGAGCTGTGGGGACCAGGGCTTGTCCCCCTGGTTCAGCCTGGCTCTGGTAGTGAAGGAGCTGAGCCAGGGAGGGCAGCCCAGGGTCATTTGGAAGTGGCAGCTGGGGCTGTCTGTGCAGGTGATAAAGGAAGCCAGCAGTCCAGCAGCGGGCGGGATGGAAGCCCCCACCTCCCCAGCGATGCCGTGCAAGATGGAGCTGGACAAGGTGATGGTTTCTAAGGGCCCTGTCCAGGGGATGTGTGGGGCTGCTGTGGGCAAACCTGGGGAACTCAGGACTGGAGAACCCCAAATTCCTGGGGCTGCATGAGGAGCCCTTCCTGTTCTCACAGCAGCTCTGCAGGGCTGGGAAGGGGAACAGGAGCTGGATATCCCAGCCCTGTGCAGGGGGATGATGCTGATGGGATCCTGCTCTCCCACAGCGCCTGTCCCAGGAGAAGCACACCTCGGACTCGGACAGTGTGGCCATGGGTGACACCGGGTCCTCGGCCACCCGCAGAGAGCACGGCGAGCACGGTCAGTCCCCGTCCCCACTGCCCACCCAGCCAGGGCCAGCTGTGTGCCCACAGCGGGGCAGCAGCTTCTGCAGCTGCCAGGGCACACACCAGAGTCACACAGCTACCCTGTCCTTCCAGGGAAAGGCAAAAAGAGCGGCCTGGCTGACCTGAAGGGCTCGATGAGCCGGGCAGCAGGGAAGAAAATCACCAGGATCATCAGCTTCTCCAAGAAAAAGCCATCCCCTGAGGACACCCAGACCTCCTCCACTGAGGAGGACATCCCCTGCTGCGGTTTGTGCAGGCTGGGGGCAAAGATGGGGCTGGGAGTGGAGTGGGATTGGTGGGGAGTGCCATCCTTCCCCCAGCATGGCTGGAGGGCTGAGGGGTGGGGATGAGCTCACTGAGGGGCTGTGACACTGCCACAGGCTGGGAAATGCTGCCCAGGCCTGGCTCTGCAAATTCCAGTGGGCAAGGGGTCACCCATATCCCCAAAAATAGCCTTGGGGAGACCGTGTGGTACCAAGCTGGCAACTCCCCTGAGCCCAGCCGCTTGTCTGGGGGGAAACTGAGGCACAGAAGGGATGGGTGATCAGGAAGTCATGCTGTAACCTCTGTCCCGAAGCCCAGCCAGGCAGGCACTGATGCCCTTCCCTCCCCCTGCCACCCCCAGGCCACCTCAGCGTGCTGGTGAACCAGTGCTGGAAGGAGCGCTGGTGTCGCCTCAAGGGCAACACCCTCTACTTCCACAAGGACCGCACGGACCTGCGCACACACGTGAACGCCATCGTCCTGCGGGGCTGCGAGGTGGTCCCGGGGCTGGGCCCCAAGCACCCCTTCGCCTTCCGCATCCTCCGCCACGGGCAGGAGGTGGCGGCGCTGGAGGTGAGCGGGGTGGGACAGACTCGTGGGGATGGGGGAGCAATCCTTGGGGTGATCAGCATCCCTCGCAAGCAGTGCCTTGCTTTGCACTCCACTGGAAAGGTCAGGGCACCTTTTGGAAGTTTGTGCACGGAGGGGAAATGTGCGCAGCAGGGCTTTGTGTCAGGAGGCAGCAAGGATGGGAGCTGGGCATGCACCCCAACTCTTCCTCTGTCCTCCAGGCAAGCTGCTCTGAAGACCTGGGCCGCTGGCTGGGTCTCCTCTTGGTGGAAACAGGCTCCCAGACAGCCCCAGAGGCCTTGCACTACGACTACGTGGATGTGGAGACCATTGCCAACATCGTGACGGCCGTGAGACACTCGTACCTGTAAGGCTGTGCTCCTGCTGTGCCAGGGGCTGGGACTGGGGATGTGTGCCCTGTGGATTCCCTGGAACGGGCACTGGCTGGGCTGTGGTTTGTGGCTGTGATCTCAGGGACAGGCAGTGCCCCAGGGGTTGTTCCCTTGGGCAGGATGGGAAGCTGAAAGGGTTTCATGGGGCTGATGAAGGGTATGGCAGGGTAGGGTCATGAACTGCGGGAATCCCCCTGAGCTGGAAGGGTTCCCTGAGGGGCTGGCAAGGATGTTCTGGAAAGGAAGATCCTGCCCCTCCTTCTGCAGGTGGGCCAGCTCCTCCCAGGATCACCGAGCGGACTCCTCTCGGGTGGTGTACGATGATGTCCCCTACGAGAAGGTTCAGGTGAGCACGACCTCACGGCTCACCATCTCCCAGCAGAGTGGCCCAGGGAGCCGTGGCCGGGCGGGGATGGCCCTGCAGGTGCCTCAGCTCGCTCCCTCTCCTCCCAGCAGGCGGAGGAGCCAGGGCGGCCGGGGGGTGCTCAGGTGAAGCGCCACGCCTCGTCCTGCAGCGAGAAGTCGCGAAGGGTGGACCCGCAAGTCAAAGTGAAGAGACACGCGTCCAGTGAGTCCACGGGCCACAAAACTCCCCAGGGCTCCTGGCCACTGCGGGAAGGGGGCTGCTCCCCAGAGGGATGTGCAGCCACGGGTGCCATCGGTGCAGCCCTTCATGGGCTCCTCCATCCCTGCAGGTGCCAACCAGTACAGGTACGGCAAGAACCGGGCCGAGGAGGACGCCAGGCGGTTCCTGACGGAGAAAGAGAAGCTGGAGAAGGAGAAGGCAGCGATCCGCAGCGAGCTGATGTTGCTGCGGAAGGAGAAGCGGGAGCTGCGGGAAGCCATGAAGGGCAGCACGGGTAGGCTGGGGCTGCTGTGAGATGCTCGGGTTCAGAGATGGGCTGGTACAGGGACACCAGGCTGGGACAGGGCCACCAGGCTGGGACAGGGACAGTGTGGCTGGCACAGGGACACCGGACTAGCCACAGGGACAGTGTGGCTGGCACAGGGACAATGTGGCTGGTACAGGGACACCAGGCTGGCACAGGGACAGTGTGGCCAGGAGCTGGGCTGGCTGCAGCGCTCTGCCGGGCTGGCAGCCCCATCTAGTGTCGCTGTGCAGGAGGATGGGTGGATTCTGCCAGCGCTGAGCTGGGGAATTGTGCACGCAGGGCCGAGGCTGCAGGAGCTGGAGCAGCGTGTGGCGCTGCTGGAGGAGCGGTGCCGGCACAAGGAGGAGTCTCGGGTCGATCTGGAGCTCAAGCTGACCGAAGTGAAGGAGCAGCTGAAGCAGTCGCTGGCAGGAGGGCCGGCCCTGGGGCTGGCTGTGACCAGCAAGGCTGAGAATGGGGTATGCATCCCTTTTTCCTCACTCATAGCTCCAGCTTCTGCAAGAAACGGTGGTTGGGGTATTGTGGGGAGCAGCACAGGGGAGAGGGGACATCCCTCTGGCTTTGCCCCATTGTGGACAGAGGTGTGTGAGTTGAATTTGGTAACCTCAGCTTTTATCTCATTACAGTTTATATTTTTTTATCTGGTTGTCAATGTTTCCTGGGTTTCTTCAGCTTTTCTTGCTCCCCCTTTTCCACAGGAAGCTACAAACAAGCCAAACGGGAGCCCCCCTGAGCACTTGGTCCCTGTGAACTGTGCGGCAGAGCTGAGGAAGAGAAGCCCCTCCATCATCCCTGCCAACACAGGGAGCGTGCTGCGGAAAGCCAAGGTCCTGCTGAGCTCTCCCTCTCCTCCCTGGCCCCACGGGAAATCTCAGTCTGTGCCCCTTGTTTAACCATGAAATCATGGACATGCAGGGCTGGGTGGGAGAGGGAAAGCATCACCCCTACAGTGCCCAGGGCAGCACTGGAAATGCTTGGAGAATGCTGGGTCCAAAGCCCCCCAGCAGGGTGGGATGCCTTGAAGTGTTGCAATGTCTCTTTATCCCCTTTTTTTTTTATCCTTTCTCTGCAGGAATGGGAAAAGAAACAGACTTAAGTCAGCCTGCCAAGCCCTGAACACACACTGGGGATCACAGAGGAGCGGCCAGCCCCCTTTCTCCAAAACACTGGGAGGGTGCTGGGAAGGCGTGGTGGGAAGAGATGTTCTCTCAGCCCCCACCACTGCAGCACCACCACCACGATAAACCAGGGAAAGGGGGAGGGAGGGGATTTGGGAGGCGGGTGGGGAAAGGGAATTCCTTGTGAATCAGGGTCACAAACTGCTGGGAAACCCAGCTCTGGGGGAGCCTGCCCCGGAGCCAGGAGTCCAACACAAACTCTGGGTGCAGAAGGAAGGAGGGGAGAGCCTGGGGCTGGCAGTTGGCACTGCCCAGCAGGTGCTCTGGTTTTCGGGATCAGCACGTGTCCAGGCTAACATTTGCCAAAGCAACCGTGGACTTGTTGGGGTTTTTGGCCCCCTCAGTATTGGGATTCAGGAGCTGCTCAGGACCAGCCACTTCGGAGATGCTGATTGTTCACCCTGCTCACTGCTCCCAGCTCTGCAGGGTTTCATCTCAGGGTTCCTCATGGCTTGAGCTTGCTGTGCCTCAACCTAGTGCCTTTGTCCAGTATTTCCTTTTCATTCTCCAGGCAGTAAGGGTGACGGCATGCTGCCTTCCCTTGGAATGGAGGAAGCTCAAGTGTCAGCATTGGAAAGCAAATTATCAGTGGATGCCTTTTACCTTTGCTAGACAGCTTAGAAGTGCTGCAAAGGGCTGGGGAGGATTCAGGCCAGCTTTCTGCCCTGGTCCCGTGCTGGTTTTGGGGGGAGCAGGGATGAGGCTCATTCAAGAGCACATTCACACTCTGGCTGCTGCACTCAGACACAGGTTGGTAAGGCATGTGATCAAAATGGAGTGAAGGGAGGTCTAAAAATTTTAAAAAAGAAAAACAAACCAGCAGGGTTATTGGAGCAGAAAAGCAAAACAGAGTAAGGTCATTCAGCACAGGCAGAAACAAGGGACAGGAATGGAAAGGAAAAGGCCCCAGCTTTTGTGCTGGGAACAAGGGAGTCACCATCACCCTCTCATGCTATGGACTGCCACAGTTAACCTCTGGAGCTCGCACTTCCACAGCCCTGTGTTAGTACTAGGTAAGCAGCTTTTAATAAAAATGCTGGCACTGGCCTGCCAGGTCCTCTCTCTTAAGGAACAGGGTGGGAAAGCTACTCCAGCTCCCAGGGAAAGGGGCAGGGGTGGGCTCAGCACTCCTGTGGCAGCAGCTGCTGGGACAAGCAGCCCATGAAAGCACATCAGAGAATCCCAGACTGGTTTGGGTTGGAAGCTTATCTTGTTCCAAGGGGCAGGGACATTTTCCATTATCCCAGATTCTTCTTGGCTCCATCCACTCTGACCTTGGACACTTTCAGGGATGGGACAGCTACAGCTTCTCTGGGCAGCCTGTACCAGACCTCAGCATCCTCACAGGGAAGAATTCCTTCCCAATATCCCATCTAACCCTGTCCTCTGGCAGTTTGAGGCATTGCCCCTCGTCCTTCACACTGGCTCCCTGTGGGTAGCCTGCAGTTGTCAGTGCCTTTGACCAAGGCTTTGGGCTTTGGTTAATGTTTATTCACCACGGGAAAGGAACACTCACAGTCTCTTCCAGTCCTTTCCTGAACTACAGGTGAAACCTGTCCTGTTACCACCCCTCAACCTGCCAGGCCAGCGGCAGGAGCTGTGTGTGGGTCTGAGTCCTGTGGGAACCAGGTCCGAGCCCCGGGGACAGGGCTGTGTGCCCAGGTCCGAGCCCCGGGGACAGGGCTGTGTGCCCAGGTCCGAGCCCCGGGGCCCGGAGCTGTGTGCCCGGTGTCCGGCTCCGAACTGTGCTGGGGGAAGGAGCTGGGGCCGGGGCCGAGCTCCAGGGAACCGGCGCCGGGTATCCAGATCCGAGTCTCGGGGGTCAGGAGCCGTGTCCAGAGCCAAACCCCGAAGCCCGGACCCCTTGTGCCCGGAGTCGAGTCCCGGGCTCCCGGAGCGGCATGTGCGGCGGCGGGCGGAGCATCATCCGTACCCCTTCATTCCCCTCATCCCCGCCTTTCCTCATCCCCTCAGCCCCGCCCGGCGTTCCCGGGGCCGTGTGGGAGCTGTAGTTCATTCCCCACATCCCCTCCTTCCCCTCATCCCCTCAGCGCGGTGCCGTGCCCGGGGCCGTGTGGGAGCTGTAGTTCCGCGGTGACGCGGGCTCATCGCCGCCACCTCCTCGCCGCTCCGGGCCGGT